TATGGATTGATGAACGCTTAACAATAAGAAAGAATACCTTATTATAATTTATCCCCTCCTTCTAAGCATAACTTTTTGCTACTAATCTTGCTTTCAAATGAATGTTGCCTTTTTCAGGATTACCTTTTTTCTTAACATATACTCACTTGCAACCAATTATCTTCCTTCCCCAAGGAGTTGTATAAAATCCCAAGTCTGATTCTTATGGAAAGATTTCATCTCTTCATCCATTGTCTCATTTCACTCTACACTTTATACACCATGTATTGTTTCTTTGTAGGTGTAAGGGATTTTATCATCAATCATTGGATGTGCATAAGCTACCATGTTACAATACCGAGCAGGTTTTTTGATAAATCTTTTTGGTTTACTTGTTGTAATGAATTTTTATTGTGTGGTTGCTGAAGTTATTGCTTCCTCTTCATATGAACTTTCATCTGAATCTCCTTCAATAGGGATTGCCTGAACTATCTTTATAGGAATGGTTGAAGTCTCAAACTCCACTTGTTGTGCACCACTAGACTGTTTTTCCTTTTCTTATGATTTCCCTTGTTATAACATGTTAGACTCATTAAAAGTGATATCTCTACTCAAAATCACTTTCTTTGATTTATAGCTTAGAGTCTGTAGCCTTTTACTTCTCCACTAAAACCTAAAAATATAGCTTTTTTGGCTCTAAAATCTAGTTTAAACTTGGTAACATGATAATATGCTAAGCAACCAAATATATACATAGAGTCATAATCATTTGCAGGAGAGCCTGACCATACCTCTAAGGGGATTCTTGCATTTAATACCACAGAAGGTAACCAATTAACAAGATAAGAAGTATAGCTTAATGCCTCGCCCTAAAACACTTTGCTTAGTCCCGAATATGATAGCATACAGTAATCTTTCTCCACCAATAAACAGTTCATGCATTTTGCTACTCTATTTTGTTGTGGTGTTTTGTGAACAATAAAATATCATTTAATCATTTCATCTTGACAAACTTCAAAGAAAGGATATGAAGTGTACTCATTACCATTATCTGACCGAAGAGTCTTAACTCTCCTTGCAGTTTGAGTTTCCATCATTTTCTTCTATGTTATAAAGATATAAAAGACATAATCCTTGTGTTTCATCATATACACCCATACTTGTCTTGAGAAATTATCAATAAAAGCAACAAACTAACAATTACCTATAATATATTCATTCTTTGAAGTCCTCATATGTCTATGTGAATATAATCTAGAATCCTTCTTGTGTTGTGTACTATAATGTCAAATTTGACCCTTCTCTATTTTCTAAGAATACATTGCTCACAGAACCTATGCTTTCTAGTCTTGGTGCTTTTCAATAGACCTTGCTTCACCAGCATACCCTGAGCGCATGTGCAAAAGTCTGGAATTATTTGTTTCATCATTTTCTAAGCTTTTGGAGATAGTAGTTATACCAATAACTGTAGATTCATCTAAGAAATATAAGTTTCCTATTCTTATACCTTTTAAGACAACTAAGGCACCATGGATTACTCTCAAAACTTCACTATGCATGATAATCTTATAACCACTAGATTTCAGGACTCCTAGTGAGAAGATATTTTTCTTCAAGTCAGGTACATACCGTACTAATCAATACTTAAATGTATATTTTTATCAAGGTTTTATTTTAGCATTTTGAACTTGAAGTATCAGTAACTCCTTAATTAGAGTATGTTTTATAATATCTTATCTAATATTATAAGATACCTTTAATTTATGGTAAATGTTCATCTTAATATAGGTCTATCACATAAATAAAATGAGTTTAACTACTAAAATTGAGAAAATAAAGAGAGGGTTAAGCTTAGAAAAAAGATGTTAATGCAGTTCAAACTGGAACGTTGTTCAGTCATATTGTCATATCTAGAGCTGTAGAACTTAGATTTGGGTTTGCTCTGTATGGATGGAAAGCTAAGACATAAGCCTAAAACATTCATGATTATCCAAAACTTAATTTTATTGCTTGGAAGTCCAAATCTTAGTATCAAAAGAGAAGTCAGTATTTGTCCTATAGTCTAGATATTATTCAATATTTAGCTCATATCTTGAGTTCTAGAAGTCCAAATGACCTTAAATTTTTTGTTGGAATGTTGACATAATTTTCTAAAACTTTGTGATTTAAATATTTTTTTTTGGTATTCTAGCTTCCCTAATGCTTTGTTACCAATTTGTTGTACAAGCAGGACTGAAAGCAAATATAAATAAATAAAAAAAGTAAATTTACATGGTTTTCCAAAATCAGGTACGTTTGCAGAGGCAACAAATTGTATATCATTAAAGGAATGCTACAAATACTCAACTTAACCTATCACAATCCTATAAAATCCATTGTTTTACTCTTACACTTGGTGTTTCTCTCAAATATGCTCTTTTTCACTCTCATAGTTACACTTGCACTCACTGCACACTTGCTTTTCTTTTACTTTCTTTTTGTCTCCATTTATAGGAGAAATGAAAGCCTTGGTAGCAACCAATAATTACCAAATAACTATTAACTACTACAATAAATATTGTAGCTAACTTTAGTGTATTTCTCATTAGTGATTATGGTTGAAAAATGATGGTGGTTGAAAAATGTTGACATAAAGTATATACAATTTTCTCCACAATGTTCCACCACTATTCACACCATTCATGTTTATACTGATAACTAATTTTATTTTTTATGTATTTATTATTTATTTTTGGTTATAAATAACTGATAAATATAATAGAGTTTGATTGTTGTCTTGAAATATTGAAGATGGAGATAATGAAGATAAAAGTAATATATTTTCATGTATATAAAAATCAACTCTAAAATTGTTTTAAAGATTGATTTATTTTGTATCTATATTTTTTTTTGTCATCAATCAAACATGTTTTATTCTTTTTTTTTCTATTCTAAAACAGGAATCAAATAATAACTAAATAAACAAAACAAACAATTAGTGCTTCGATACAAACTTTAGCCGTGTTTACAATAGGAATATATATATATATATATATATATATATATATAAAGAAAACAAA